TCTTATCTCGTCTCAGTAATTTTCTAGCATTACAGACATTTCTGTGCAGTACAAAGATTCGCATTACAAATTTAGGTGTCTATCTGATATTTCTTTCATTTTCCTGTTTGATTCTTAGTATCATTTGTGGAATGTTTACATATATTCCTGCTTTTATTGGTACTGCTAAATTAGGAAGCAGCTATCGTTTATTTGTCTATGCCCTGGATGTTTTATTTTTACCTTCTTGGATCGATTGTATCTACTGGTTAATCTCTTACATTGCGATTGAACGGCTTCTTATCGAATATTCGCTTGTCCGTTTGTATGATTCAAGACGACGTTCTTTTATTTCAATTTTATGCCTTTACATTATTGTGTCAGTAATACACATTTCAGTAGCGATTTTCTGTCTGAAAATCAGTTATTCCTGTGTTGATAATTGTCAGTTAAGCTTTTCTTCAACATGTCATATTTTCTATCCCATGCTTTCTTTGATCAGTGGCTTCGTCTCATCAACTGCATCATTCATGTCATGCTTTTTCGTTCTATATCATCTTCTCCGACATCGGCTACACTTCGCAGATTATAGTGGATCATTGGGCTCCTCAATAAAACTTGTCATTTCAAATCATAAAGACATCATTCTTCTGCCACTTGTATTTACACTCTGTGTAATTCCATTTTATATAGTATGGTCTATTATGACTTTTTCAAAACCAGAAACTCAGATTGTTGGAAAAATGTCCAAAATTTTACAATTGTTCCACTACTCGACTTTGGCAATGATATTTTTTATTACTGTCAGCCTATCAAAATTCTATCGACAACAATTTTGGAACACATCGTACGTTGGACAATTCTTAATTTATACAAAAGACAGACTATGGAGTAACACCTTGACAAAATCATCTGTATTTTATATATCATCAGATCTTTTCGATAAAACTACTTAGAATACTGGGCTATAGATATAAATATTGTGTTCTATCATTTGTCGGAGAATTTTTATAATAGTTTCTTCAAAAATTAATTGTTTGTTCAGGCGTAACCCCCCGTTCCTCTCCGCATCCCCTTCGATAAAGTCAGCTTTAGTCCAATTCATCAATTTTGTCATTTAAAACTCATTAGATACACCAAGATGTCGACTTTCGAACGCACTATAGTTGATCAATTTTATGACGAGCTTTAAGGATATTACATAAATTTTTCTGAACTTCCATATTGAAAAAAATAAGATTTTTTAAAACTTGTGTTCCGTTTTTCTTAAAATCTGTTTTCTCGAGTATACTGCTTTCTCGGACAAACTTTACTCAATAACAGCTCAATATAGAAGTGATAATGTTTTGTGGAACTCACGTATATTTTCCAAGAAAATAGTGAATGTAAGTTTTCAGTTCAAGTTTTGGCGACTTCCCCGCCCCATTGCAGACAGTCCTCCATCACAGACATACCCTCTATTACAGACAGGTTACCCAAGCGGACAAAAATTTTAAAAAACGCGTTTAAACGCACAAACGGGAACCGCGATTGTAAGTCATTAACGCTTATTAAAAAACAAGCACGAAAACGCGTTTATTGGCGGCTTTTGTAATTTTTTGGGAGTCAAAACGGCGAAAATTTCAGGTTTTAAACGTTAAAATGCCTTGTTTTTAAATTCTAGAATAATAGCGCGTTTTAACGCTCAAAAACTGGAGTTTTCGCCGTTTTGACGCCCAAAAAGTTACAAAAAACGCCAATAAACGCGTTTTCGTGCTTGTTTTTTAATAAGCGTTAATGACTTGCAATCGCGGTTCTCGTTTGTGCGTTTAAGCACGTTTTTTCAAAAATTTTTTCTGCTTGGGTACCATTACAGACCTCAGCAACCGCGCATAAAAGGCTTTAGATCAGAGATGGAACCGGTACCGGTTACCGGCCAGACCGGATTTTAGACCGGTCGATTATTGGTAGACCGGCCGGTAACCGGTAGACCGGCGACTGCTTGGCCTATCTTTTTTTTCCTGCTTTTATTGCATAAACTAGCTCAAAACTGCGGGATCTTAATGCTATCTTGTAGAGAATACGAATGAAAATTTCGGTGGGAGTCGATTACCTCAACTATCACTATCCAAAAGATAGAATTTATATTGGTAAAATTGTGTACCGGCCGGTCTAACCTGTTTGGACTGGTACCGGTACCGGCGTTCAAAAATCCAGACTGGTTCCATCTCTGCTTCAGATTCTATAAAATATATCAATGCTTTCATAAATATTCGGAAAACACCTATTTTGCAGTTTATAAATCATGCATCAGGATGACAAGTTCAAAGGATATACGTGAGTTCCACATTTCAGCTCCTTTCGAGCTGCGCTAACAAGCTTTTTTATTGCATAGAGGACAGTTAGGTCTCCATCTTCGAGTCCGATTTTTCAATTTCTCTAAAGGAGAAATAAAAAACTTATATATCTCGTTTTTATTAGCGACTGTTTTGATCATGCATTCGAGAACTTTTCAGAGAAGATCTTTTATAGAAGAAACAGGGAATTTCAGAAACTAAGCTCTGTGAGGATCTAGTGCCAAGGGCACTCTACAACTTGAAAACAGCCCCACCATGTTAGCTACTGTCCTGATTGTAAAAACCTTGTCCGCGCACAAGGTATTTTTGTCCAATAAGTTAACTATAACTTATGTATATACCATAGACTTGAGGATATATTTTAACCATAATCTACTCTAATCGAGACTTACATTCACTGAAATTTTGGTCGAATTCCATGGAAAAAATTGTCAGCGCAGCTCCTTTGGAGATGAAACGTGAAACTCACGTATATCCTTCAGCGTTGCTATCGTAGTATGTCATCCATAAACTGAAAAGTTTCTTGTCGACTACAATCGCTTTTATATATAGTCGCTGACAAGAGCAATAATTTATCATTTATTTCTACATTTAAAACTGAAGTTGTCTTTTCTCTTTGGGTGCGCCAGATTTTATTATTGTTGCTATATACTCGACGGTGTGCAGGTTTTTTTTATGAAATTTTTTTTCACCTCGATTATTTCATGAGTACGACTAATATAGGGTGTGGATGTGAGAGATGGGTGTGGGTGTGGGTGTGGGGTGGGTGTGATGGTGTGTTTGGCGTGTAGTTGTGTGGTGTGAGTGTGGGTGTGGGGATTGGATGTGATCTTCTCCAATGATCCACACTCACTCCATACCCCACCCACACCGTCACACACTCACACCCACACCCACACCCACACCCATACCCATACCCCACACCCAAAACTACGCACACACACCTTCAAGATATGAATATCAGAAGGTTTTACAATAAGGTCACAATTTTATCAGAAATGCTAACTTTCAGATTGATATATAAGACCATAAAATAAATGTGGAAATCTCGGATTTATATCTGAGAATTGTGTACTTCAGAAAGTGAATGAGACAAATTGGTCATCCTAGAATGTCTGGATATAAAAATTTACGTGGCAAACTTTTCTATAAACCCTTGAATTCCATTGCCTACTGTTCAACCGTAGGACTTAGGATCATATACAGTTCAAATTTCACCTGTTCGGCTTTATTTAGTCTCAGAAAGTCGTTTTTTCTATAACATGATTTCTATTGGTCAATACTCAATCAATGGAACTTCTAGCCAAGTTTAGCGCAGATTCTAATTCTCCGCACCAGAAAACCTTTGATTATTATCTCTATGGTCGAAAGATGGAGTTCTAACTGATGATCAATTAGAGCGTGCACAAAAACATAAACCGATTCTTCCCTATTTATCTTTGCGATGGATGAGATAATCTTTCTGTTTCCTCATGTTTTATAAATCATCTTGTAGTTCTTGAAATTCTCTGTCTAATGATATATAATGGTTGGGGTTTTAGTTAACTATGATAGGAAAAGTCTATTACGAAAGTAACGATGGATCAATTTTTTCATAGGAAGCTATTGGAAAAATGGGTATTTTTGCAATAACTCAAAAATGACTTTACCGATCATTCTCATCTTCGAACTCAACGGAGATACTGTAAAGACTGAACTGAATAGAAAATTTCATCGCAATCAGACTCTCCTTTCCAAAGTTATCGTGTAAACAGTCGAACATACTGACTGATTCTAGTGTACTCAAAAAGTGAGTACACAAAAACCTTATACAACTTTCATACATTGTTGTAGAAAGCGTATTAGATTTTGTAGTTAGATTGTATGCTCTGGATGATTCACATTATAACTATTTCAATTTTTACATGAATTTTTCATTATCATTGACTATTATTAAATTTCATTAACTCATTTTTACATTTATTTACAAAACTAAATTGATTAATAACTGATCGTTTAAGTAATTTACATATCAATCATTTACTTTACTGATTTTATAATTATTTCATTTACTGATCATAAAATCATATACCCATTGTTATATTCATAGTTTGATATTAGTAGAAAATATGTTTATTTTAGTATGTATTTGTAACATTAGAGGGACTAATACGATATTCATTCATATACAGGATATTACCAAAATGTGAATATCTATTTAATCATTGAAATGATTTACATGAAGTTTTATTTCATATCAGTTTGTCATTAACAGGTGTAAAAAATAATTACTTATAAAAACACTGCACAAATCTTTCATATTTGAAAATATTTGTCAAAATGTTATATAAAATTTAGTTTGAACTCTTTGTTTTTAAGTTTCATTATAGATTTTTAACAAATTTCTCATAAAACTTATTCTCTGTATGTTTCTATAGAAAAACGTCAAGTAGCATCAGCTGAGCTGACCATGACGTCCAAACTTTTTCTTTGTAGCTAAATGGTTTTTTTCTGTAGCAACTAGAACCGAATCGGCGTGTATAATTATTTCCTTCGTTTAGAAGAACTGAAATATCGGCAGTCTAAACGTTATCTTTTCAAGATTATATATTAATTTCAATAGTTTCATGATATTTGTTAAAATTATCGTTCGAATTGAAAATGAAAATACACAAGAGAAAAAAAATAAAGGATTTTCTTCAATTTTCACTTTTTTGTAGGTTTAGTAACGATGGTAGATGTCAATGATTGTTTTTGTTGATTAAATAAAGATCGAAAATGACTCAATTCAACTAATGATAAATTTTGATTTGTTCGTCGAAGAGAATCATCTTGTAATAAAGATACAACTTGTTGAATATGAATATTTTCTATGATTTCACTCATATACATTAAACTTTGACCATTAAAATTAGTAAATAAACGAGACATTTGTAACAAACCATGACTAATTAACCAATTTTGCACATGTATTTCATTCCAATCGAGAATATTTTCTGGAAATATGAATGTCGATGATATAGATGTCATAGAAACTGTAGTATTAACATCTTTTTTTAAATGAATATTTACTGGACATATTTCACTGATAACAGAAGCTTTCAATTCTTTAATTAATATTTGCATAGCTTGTGAAAATTCACATTTAATAGAATTGATATATTTTAATTGACCAACTAAAAATAATAACCAACCATCAGGTTTATAATGTTCTTGTAAAAGAATTGGAATTATTTGAATTTCACGTTGAAATGCATAATTTGCTTCTGCACGACAATAATTACTTCTATGATAATGTTCACTCATACAAATTAAAATTGTATTTGATTGTTCAATTGCTTGTGCCATTGAATCCATAATATTGCCATGCATTTGATCAAAATCAATCCATATATGATAACCTATTTTAATAAGTTCATTATATAATTGTTTACAAAAAATTTCATCTTTATGTGAATAACTAATCATAATATCAAATTTTTTTTCATTATTATGTATTAATATTGTATGATTATCATGATTTATTTCTAAATTCCATAATATTCCATGATAAATTTTTCGTATTTCAGGTGATTTGGAAATTACCTGATCATATAGGGGGTTCAGAAAAGCGCACACTTGATCACGTGATCAGCGTCCAAAAAATCATTCTGGATGTTTTCCGAAATTTTAAACAGCCCTGAGGGGAATAGGGGAACTTTCGCAACGCTACTCCCTTGGGTTCGATTAAGATTTTTTTTATGAAAAATAAAAACCTAGGAGTCTGGAAAGCGTATACCTCCCCCCTTGGAGTTATTATTTTTTTATGAGATATCGGAAAATTTGCAGGAGTCTTTTTTGTAAGGAGAGCCTGCCAGAAATCATGTAATTAGGGGGAGGGACACAGTAGACAACTAGACCACAAAATCTGTTTTCGAGATTTAAACAAATATCATAGCTATCATTGAAGCTGCTATGCTTCTGCAGGGTGTGGGTGTGGGTGTGGGTGTGGGTG